CCAAACACAAACAAATAGACTGATCTGGCTGTAACTTGGTGTGTGTTCCTCCAAGAGATACTACTAACTAAATCTAACCTTGATACGCGCCAGTAGTGCCATCAGCAGTGACTTTGCACGGACTTTTCGAACGACCCTCTAATATATTAATAAATTATTGTTATTACTGAATAAATTATTTTTCAAATATATATATTTTTTATTTACTTCTGTTATTGTTAAAAATCATTAATGTATAATTTTCAATCAAAAATAATTAAATAACATTGCGTGTGTGCGTGCATGTGTGCGTGCTTGTAAATATATGTGTACGCGCGTGTTCAGTTATGTTAGGTTGGGTAGATGTTGCGTACGTCCTCTGACATTTTAAATATTTATTATAGTCTAAAATAAGGGTTGTTTCTTAACATAGGTCGTATATGGAGCTTCCCATTCTTCTTCTCACTTCTTTGCAGTATTATTATCGCCATTATGCGCAATGTTTCATCTTATATTCTTCCCACCATGGATCGAACGATCTCTCGAGATTAAAGACAATATCTTTGTCATTACCATTTTCTAACTAAGTTAATAAATATCAGCGTATTATTTCGTTTCCATGTAATTTCTTCAAATATTAATAATATTAATATTAAATTGTCAACCGAGATATAAGCTTTAAATATCTTATGTATTAATTAAAATTATGAATTAGCATAGAAATAAAACTATTATTACAAATGATATTTTGATTTGCATCGGTATAAATCAATGAGAGATCAAAGCGTAAAATCAAAATGATGTATTTGTTAACTGAAAATTAAGCAGAACCAAAAATTATTACTCTTCGAAAAAAATTAATGTATCAAATAAAAAATTAAAACTCAGATGCTATAATCTTAACTAATTAAGTTCAAATTAAATTCAAATTAAAAAGTAAAACACAAATGGTACTGTCCCTTGTTATTTACTTAACTTTAATAATATCATTCGTATAAAAGATTTGATATCAACAAAATTGGCGCGTGAAATTCCTCAACATTTTATGTATTATTTTTATAAAAGATTTGATATCAAAAACTGGTGCCAAGTTAAATCCCATTTCTTTATACCATGCCAAATTAAATAAATAATGCATATTAATCTAATGGTATGTATCATTTGTATAAAAGACTTGATATCAACAACTGTGGCGCCAAGTTAAATTTTACTCTCAAAATAAAAAGTAAAACCATATGTTACGTCCAAGTTCCGCGCGCATGCGAAGCTGAGGGAGTGAACGTAACAAAGAACCGAATTGTTAGACCGATGTTGAATGTTAGACCGATTTAGTCGTGTCCGGGCTCCGGACCTTAAGGAAGCCGTGGGGAAGGATCGACGCAAATCGGGAGGCGCTTCGCTTCGTCCTGAGACTCCTAACGAGCCGGGGGTCGAACGGAGGACGAAGCGGAAACCTCTGCTCGTGCTCCGCTAAATGGACACACGAGTCGGACGTACTTCAAAAAAGGCCCAAACTGGGTCAGTGCTGAGAGAGGCGCATTTTAACGCTAGCTGCGTCAGTATGGCCGTATGCCCTGACTTTCGGTCATGGAACTTAATCCAAGTAACCGGGAAGAGGGAGAAGTGCAATCGCGGGAGAGCTTAATAATACGAGGAGAGGTTATATTTAAATAAAGACTACCAAGAGGTTAATTTAATAATGATATAATTAAAAGAAGCAAACTTGAGTGATACCCCCCTTATTTCCTTTACTATTGCAGTTAATATTCTTATTTTTTCCCCCTTATTATCCTTTAATTTTACGTCATCCCTCTGCTTTTTACTCTTATCTACTATACTTCCATCCCCATTGTCCAAGGGCTCCCCACCTTTCTTATCTATACCTCCCCTCCTTTCCCATTTACCCTCCCTCCTTCCTATTCTTCCGCTCTTTCTACCTTCTTTCCCATCTCTTTCCCTTTCTCTCTCATCCAAACTACATTCATTCACATTTATTCTCACGCCTTCACTCTCTTCCTCTCCCTTTAACCTTCTCCTCTTCCCTGCACTCTCATCCCTTCCTTTCACACTCTCCCACCCCTCCCTACGTTCATTCCCCCCTTTTCTTTTACTCTTACTGCTATCACTCTTATCTATTACTCTATCTCTACATATCTCTTCCTTCTTCTCCGTTCTACCATCCTCCACCGTCTCTCTCTCCAGCCGTCGATCTCTCCCTTGTTCTCCATCTTCACCTTCATTCATCTCTTCGGCTTGTTCTCCGTTTAATTTACCCTCGCCGCTCTCGCAAAATCTCTTTCGATTTCCATTCTGTCCCTTTTATAGTTCCATACATACTTTATTTCTCCTATATATGCTTTTGCGTATCCGACTTTTACCATCCTTCCTTTTTTCTTCTCTTGATATGCCCATTCTCTTACCCTTTTCTGTATCCCCCTCTCTTTTCTTGTCATATCTTCATCCACATATATTTTCTTTTCTCTTAGCTTATACTTATTTTTCATAATCTTCCTCTTTTCTTCAAAGTTTTCTAATTCCACTAAAATAATTTTCTCTTCTTTGTCAATAACCCTTACCTCTTTCACTCTTATTTTTTCTCCACATATTCCATTACATAGATCTTCTACTACCTGTCTCTCTGTTCCTTCCTCAACTTGCTCTCCCTTAATCACAATATTCTTCTTCCTTTCTCTTCTTTCTCTTTCCTCTTCTCTCTTTTTTAACTCCGTCACCTCTCTTCGTAATTCCACATTTTCTTTCTTCAGTTCTTCTATCACTTTCGCATTCTTTTCACTCATTTTTTCCAGCTCTTTCTTCAGCTCAGTCATTACCTTCTTTTCTAAGTCTCTATTACTATCCTCTATTTTCTTGATAATTTCTTTCTTAGACCTTTCTTGATTCTCCCCCATGTTTTCCAGAATTTTTTCAATCTTTTCCATTTCTACTATTTTCGCCTTTTCTGTATCTATTATTATTTCAGCCGTCTTCCTCCGTTTTCCTTCCTTCTCCTCACCCTCACTATCGCTGTCTTGCTGCTCTCTTCCCCTCCTCCACAGCCACGATGAAATACCTGATATACTCTCTCTACTATTGCTTCTCTCCCTTCCCAGCTTTTCCGCGTTGGTCTCCCTCTCTTCCCCACTCTCGCTTCTTCTATTTGTCCCCGCTTGCTATTCGGTGCTGCCGCCTCTGAGCCGGTATCTTCCTTCTCTATCTCTAACCTCTCACTCATACCCCCTTCTCCGTGCTGCACCGTGTTCGTGCTCACCTGCTCACTCTACTGCCGTTTACTCTCTCTCCTTTTCTCTCTCTCTCTCTCTCCCTCTATCGTACTTGTCACGCCGTCATCGATGGCTGTAACGCTACGCCTTGCTCACTCAATAGATGGCAGCACCTGCCCCCGTCCCCCCTGTACTTAGCGTGGCTCTCACCACACGAGGCGATCGTTCTCACTTTCAGGTTATGTTAATTCTGACACTTTACCTGCAGTAATCTTCCGGGAACTCTCGATTTTTCCGGTGAAAAATACATGAACTTGTGGCACTTTCTAACTTGCCTAGGTCCTGAAACAGAGTAACGCCCGCGGGCACAAAGATGCAGAATACAATCTAATTTATTTGGCAGAAACAGTTTAGCGAACCTTTCAGTTACTCACCGGAAACGGAAGTCAATTTTGTGATATTGTTTTGTATAATATTTTAAAGGAGAATTAAATAACTACTATTTTAGTTGAAAGACAAAATGTCTTTGAATGAATTGTGATATAATAATTTTATTTAAGAGGAATTTAAACCATTTGGATTGGAATAGAAGATCCTTCAATAAGATATATGTATACTTAAGTTTCATTGCATAAAAATTAAAAATAGTACAATTTGGATTAAGTAAATAATATAATATAATAAAGATAATATCATTTGGATTTTACTTTTTATTTTGAAGTTAACTTGGCGCCACAGTTGTTAATATCAAATCTTTTAAACAAATGATACATATTATTAGATTAATATTCATTATTTATTTAATTTAGTATGGTATAAAAAAATGGGATTTAACTTGGCACCAGTTTTTGATATTAAATTTTTTTACAAATAATACATAAAATTTTGAGGAATTTTACTTGGCGCCAATTTTGTTAAAATCAAATCTTTTATACAAATGATACATATCATTAGAGCTAAGTAAATAACAAGGGACAGTACCATTTGTGTTTTACTTTTTAATTTGATAGAATTTTACTTGATTAGTTAAGATTTTAGCATCTGAGTTTTAATTTTTCATTTGATACATTAATTTTTTTTGAAGAGTAATAATTTTTGACAGAGAATTAAAGTTGCCATTACTTGAGTTAGCATAAGAAGACCTTCAATAAGTACGAGAGTGGTCTCAGAAGTACCCGACCTAACGTACAGATAGCGGTTGTTGTATAAAAAAAAATCACTGTAGGGGAAAGCACCAACTTTCTAAAGCTTAACTATGAAGTTTGAAGATGCTACGTTGTTCAGTACTTGTTTGGCAGCCATCAATAGTAGACGATTTCGGTGAATTTGCAAAGATGGAAAAAATTGGTTATCGTTATGTGATACAATACTTTCATTTGAAAGGTCTTAGCCCAAACAATATCAAAGCCGAGCTGGATTCTACTCTGGAGGAGTCTGCTTCTTCGTTTACAACAATAAAATATTGGGTGACAGAATTTAAACGAGGCCGTACGAGCTGCGAAGACGAACATCGCAGTGGTCGACCAAGTGAGGTGGCCATTCCAGAAATGGTGCAGAAAATCCACAAAATGGTATTGGGTGACCGTCGATTGAAAGTGCGCGAGCTAGCAGACATGGTAAACATTTCAAAAAGTGCTGTACATCGCATATTGACTGAAAATTTGGAGATGAGAAAACTGTGCGCAAGGTGGATGCCGCGCTTGCTCACAATCGAACAAAAGCAGCGTCGAGAGGATGTTTCAATCGAGTGTTTAGTGATGTTTCGCAGCAACAAAGTCGAATTTTTGCGCCGATTCATAACCATGGATGGAACATGGGTCCACCACTTCACACCTGAAACGAAGGAACAGTCGAAGCAATGGACTGAAAATGGGGAATCGACTCCGAAGAAAGCAAAAACAGTTCCATCGGCAGGCAAGGTCATGGCGTCAGTTTTCTGGGATGCACGTGGCATAATTTTCATTGATTACTTTCAGAAAGGAAGAACAATCAATGGCGAGTATTATGCGAACTTATTGCAGCGTTTGGGTGATGAAATCAAGGAAAAACGGTCACATTTGGTGAAAAAGAAAGTGTTGTTTCATCAAGACAATGTACCAGTTCACACATCCATTATCGCGATGGCCAAAATCAATGAGTTAAAGTTCGAATTGCTTCCCCATGCACCCTATTCGACAGATTTAGCCCCCTCGGATTATTTTCTCTTTCCAATCTTGAAAAAATGGCTCGGTGGTAGAAGATTTACCAATGAAGAGGTGGAGTCTGCGGTTAATGGCTATTTTGAGGAGTTCAACGATTCTTATTATAAACAGGCCATCGAAGCTATTGAACATCGCTGGGAAAAGTGTATCGAGCTAAAAGGAAACTAACATATGTTGAGAAATAAAGATATTTTTTCCCAAATTTTTTGTGTTTTCTTTGTTAGGTCGGGTACTTCTGAGACCACCCTCGTATATCCATGAAGAGAAACTACTTTTAATTGAGTTGAATACTTGTGGTATTATATACAAAGGGCCGGTTTCACCAACTCGATTAAGCCAAATTGATGATGAACTGTCCATAAGTGATCAATTCTACTAAACAGCAAACACAATTAGTCAGTTCCACGGCCAATTAAGTAATTAGCATTGGTGAAACCGGCTCAAATGATTCTTCACAAGAAACACGCATACTTAGCGCTTTTTTTACCTTTTTTTAAAAAAGTAAGTTTGTACAAATAACAAGAAACAGTACCATTTGTTTTAAATACAAAGCGCCGCTACGGTCTGAACGTTAAGACGTTGAATTATTATATATATTCATTTAAATGAATTAATTTCAGAAATTATAATTGCGTGCTGATATGGTCGTCGGACTTTCAACGCAATAAATCTGTGTGTGTGTGAAATATTAATAATCTCCCAAATTTCCCAAATTTAATCTTAAAAAACTATAATAAACTTATTGCGAAAAATATTGCCTCAGCCGGGAGTCGAACCCTGATTTCTTGCATTCTATGCGAGCGTCCATTTGTGTTTTACTTTTTAATTTAATAGAACTTAATTAGTAAATTGTAGCATATCATTAACTCGATGAACATTTCAAAAAAATGTTTATACTTTCATTTTAGAATCAATTCAAAAAATTATTTTATTAGAACATGACTGAAAAATCTTTTAATGCTGCGTTTTTTATTTTATTTTATGTCGTTTTTTAAGGCTTCTGTATAGTCATTACAGTCATATTGAATTATGATATCAGAAGCAAGAAATGACATGTTAATTTTTATTGCTATTATTATGTGCTATTTATAAATAAAGAAATTTTTGGATAAAACAAAATTATGAGATTGCTTCAAAATATTTGTAAAAATGGACGAAAACTATGCTTATCTTTCCGGTGAAAATTTTTCTCATAATTTTTATACGAATTGGAACATTTTTCAGAAATACTCAGAAATATTCGGAAAGTTTACATCTTCTCTCAGAATTTTTTATACAAATAAATTCTGAAATATATTCTGAAATTTCTTATTCCATAATTAAATAAAAATATTAAAAAATTTTTTTATATTTTATAACATTTTATCAGAAATTATACTTACAAAAAAATTTTAGAAATCTTATAATATTTCATAATTAATAGATAAAATATTTAACATATAAAAATAACATATAAAAATAACATATAAAAATAACATATAAAAAATTTTGAAAAAAGTTGTAGAAAGATTTTTTGAAAAATGTTCCAATTCGTATAAAAAGTATGAGAAAGTTATAGAATTATATAGAAATTCTGAAAAATTATATGAAAAATTCTGAGAAAAATTTTCACCAGGGCTCCTCTGACAATCAATAAATAATTGTCAAAAATGATAAAAGGTACACGAAGTGTTTTTATTCAATGCGCATGCGTAGCTTATATTCATTTAGACATGCCTTTTATCACTTTCTATAATTATTTACTGACTGTCAAGGGGGATCAGCATAGTTTTCATTCATTTTTCCAATGTTTTAAAACAATCTCATCATTTTGTTATCTCCAAATTGTCTTTATTTATAAATGTAATAAAAATTACGTGTAATTTCTCGTTTATGAGAAGAAAATCGTTTAATCGAGAAAAATTTAATGAATCTCTCTGGTGGCGGTGCCACATACTGCTCGACAAAATTCCATTTCTATTTAATTGACAGAAATGTAGATTAAATATTTTACGAAAACGATTTTCAACAGATTGTAGCAATATTTATGATAATAAGTTTGCTACAGCATTTCCGCTCGTTTGCGCAAACAATCGTTGTCCGCATAATGTCTCTAGATTGTCTTAAACAAAATTATTAGTGATGACAACAATATGGCAATTGAAGAGAAACTTGTGCTAAGTATTTATTTCTTTTTTTATGCCAAGGAACGTGTTGTTATCTAAATTTTCTGGATCCAAGATTAATAATATTATTATGCCCGTGCCTTGCCGACATCCGTGGCATATGCAAGCGAGCGCGTTGCTGAGACAATCAGCAAATCAATCGTCTAATAAGATAGACAGATTTGGATGTGGGCTGTTGGCGCTTGATTGCTCCATCTTACATCTTTGGCTGATTGCTCCATCTTACATCTTTCGCGGTATTCTGTTCTGCATTCTTGATTAATAAACGCTTCTTGTTCTTCTTTCTTAACATTAATGTTGTTTATTTCGGCGGTTCGGGAATGTGTATGCGCGTCTGTGAACGCGACCTCGTAAATCGGCCATGCGGGCGCAACATTTTGAAGGTTCGTCCGCTTGGACATTCAATGCGTGCTGTGTGAGAGTCAACTTCTCGGAAAAGAATTATTGCTCCGGAGCAATCTCTTGTTGTGACGACTGTGATGAGGATGTCGCAAGAAATGTCACCTATGATGATATCTTCAGACCGTTTTGCAGGAGGTGCAGCAGCTGCAAAGAGGAGCAACGGCACGCACGAGCCGAATACTGGGAGTCTGCACCACAGAAGTGAAACTAGTATTAACTCATGGTTCCGATAACCATTTTCGCAAATAGAATAATAAACATACGAAGCGTACTGCGTAGTACAGGTACGTACAAGTTTCCATCAAACAGTTAACCTACAAAAGGTACATACAATAAATAGATTTAATTTATTATAATGGTTAATATTACTATCAATCTGTTATCTTTTAAGTCTTTATTTTTAGAGAAACGTAACCTCATCCCAGTGAATTTGCACTTTTTATTCTTTGGAATCATCGAGACAAAACAAATTAATAGGTTTTTGTACAGAATTTACAGAAAAAGAGGTTATATTGATGTTAATTTTATTTCAGCCTATTTTGCTAATCCACAAATCATACATGGCTACTTGGACACGGAACACGTATCTGCACGAGTACAAGGTAATCAAAGTAATTAAATGTTTACATTTGTGTATTCTAATTAACAAATCTTTTTTTTTTTTGTGTTATTTTATATACTTTTCTTTTCTACAATAGTTAATGTCCGGGCACTTAATATATTTCTTTTTAATGTGCAGTAATTGTTCTCTAAAGTAATGTACCTATATGACAAATGGATGTGTCAATTCAAGAATATTGTGCTATTGGTGGCTGTAACTAACAGGTAAATAATGTTAAATAAAAATTTTAATCATAATAAATTACCATTAACTAATTACCATTACAATCACAATCATATCGTATTTATATGTTACAACGACAAGAAAATTATTATTTTATCAATTCAGCCGGCAAAAACAATAATTTTGAACAAATGGATGAGGAGGGGTCTAGTTTATATTCTTTTAATTTGTCTTTCACACCTCGACATATTGCAAAATATGTATATATTAAATAAATTTTATATGCAAGGAATGTGTTTAAATTCGCATTTAAGAATTTAGATTTGAATTGTACTCGTATCATATTGAGAGCACATTAGTCAGAAATATAAAGAAAATAAGAGTATTATACTTTGTTCTAAAATTTTATTGGTAATTATATCTTTCTATCCTAAAGTATTTTATGTACTGTATTATTATAACATCTTAGAATATTATGCCTAAACATATGTTACGTCCATATAAAGGGTATCCCAAAATTAACACAAGATTTGAATTAAATAGAAAACACAGTTTTTAGTCTTTTGATTGTTATTTTTTTATTGAATCATAAAGTACATAGAATAGGGTTATTTGTGGAATAACACATCGGGCAAATGGCCTCCACGGCTTTGAATGCACATACGCACTCATTTGTCGAAATTTTCCATGACCATTTTGCATAAATGTGGCTGAATTTCGTTGATGCAGCGTTGAATCTCCTCCTTTAATGCACGGGTGGTTGTGGGCTTGTTGACATAGACCTGTGATTTCAAATAACCCCATAAAAAGAAATCTAATGGTGTTAAATCACACGATCTAGGGGGCCAATTCTGATCACCTAAACGAGAGAGTACACGACCTGGAAACGTCTCATGCAGTAACTGAATTGTTTCACGAGCTGTATGGCATGTGGCACCGTCTTGTTGAAACCACATATTGGCCACATCAATATCATCCAATTTCGGCAGAAAGAACTGTGTTATCATGTAGCGATATCGAGCACCAGTAACAGTCACTGCTTGCCCAGCCTCATTTTCAAAAAAGTATGGTCCAATGATGCCTCCAGCCCAAAATCCACACCAAACAGTGACACGTTGTGGATGCATTTGTTTTTCGACAATCACATGTGGGTTCTCCGTACCCCAAAAGCGGCAATTTTGGCGATTAACAAAGCCATCAAGGTGAAAATGTGCTTCATCGCTTAGGATGATTTTGCTCGAAAAATCAGCATCCATTTGTTGAATAATGAACACACGTTGTTCTATCGTGTAACGCTCCATTTTCACTAACCCTAAACTGTCAGCTGTTAAATTGTTTTTTTTTTGGGTTGCCAACACTTTACTGCACAAATGGCGGCAAATTCAAATCTTGCGTTAATTTTGGGACACCCTTTATTATAGATGCATGCCATGATTCTTTTCTTTCGAAAGAATCGGCTCTATGTCGCAACACTCGCGTCTACGAGATTCGAGTAGAATCCTCTGATAATGGTCTGATAGAAATGAAAAAAGAGTCCGGACAAGCTCCGTGAAAAAACGCCAATCAACCCTTAATGCAGGTCCGAAAGGTGACAAGATTGCGAAAGACATTATAAATGCACCTAAGTCATGCAATAGAAAAAATCCAAGCTTTGTCGTCCCAGATTGACCAACAATTTCATCTTCAGAAAACAGGCGCCACGTCGCGCTTGATAACTTCCTAGGGTAGCGTTATCTAAGATCGGACCCGCGACTAATAATGGTTGGCCTGCACGCAAAACTAGTTGTGTACGGTAACCATCTGTTTACCTAGTTATATTTTCCGCGAGGATAATAGAATTTGTCATTCGTCCGGAATAATCTTTAAAGAAAAACGTAAATCATTTCTTTTTTTCTCGAAACCTCTCTAAC